CTAATTCCACCTTTTCTCCAGATTACAACGTGAATGCTATTCTTCCTCTTAGAGAAGATCCTCGTAGTACGTCTGTGAAAATTAGCGATAAGGACTTGAATAGATCCGTGGAATTTGCACAAGACGTTCTGGAGCACCTGCAGCGGCTAGAAAATAGTTTGCAATGGTCCAATATAAACGTCCGTCACGAAAGTCCAGTTCATGGACAGTTGATTGAATCCTCTCCAGAAAGGGAGGCACTTTTAGTTGGGAGAGATGCCCTAATATCTACTAAAGCTACTGCTCAACTGGTCAATACACACTGTGGCAAGTAAGTAACACTTCATACGATAGGAAGTGTTTTGTAACTACCGAATTTTCTGATTACGAAATTCTTTCGTTTATTAGACATCACCTTAATCCTTCTGAATGTGTGAGGCATATGTCAAATTTCAAATTGACTACGACATCTCTTCGTGAGTCATGTCCAGAATTTCGAAAGAGGTGTACCCTTTCGGAAACACATTCACCTTACCGCTCAACAGATGGTTCCTGCAATCATGCTAATAAAGGAGTTTTGGGCCAATCCTTGATGCCCTACAAGAGATTGTTGAGTCCCGACTATTTGGACGGAGTCCAAGAACCCAGAAGGTGTGTTCATTTTTTATCTATTTCTACGACATTGTATAACCGAAATTAATTATTTCTTTAGGTCAGTTAATAGGAAGTATCCACTACCATCTGCGAGGTCTATTAGCACTTCACTGAATCAAAATTCTAATTTTCTTGATAACGAAATAACGCTGGCTGTGATGCAGTGGAGCCAGTTCGTCGAGCATGACCTGGCTCACACTCCTACTCATAAGATGAGTAAGTGTTTCAGTTTGATCGATCCTTTACCATTATTCAATATTTGTTCTTCTTTCTTCAGTTCATTCTCAACAAGCAATCGAATGCTGCGATTCTCATGGCAGAAACCTTTCTCCTCGCTACAAGCATCCTTTCTGCCATCCAATCCACGTATCCATGGAGGACGAGTTCTACTCCAAACATGGAATTGAATGTATGACTTACGTAAGATCTTTGCCTTCAATGAGGGCTGATTGTAGTCTTGGACCAATGGACCAAGTAAGTTTTTTCTCTTACCCTAATGGTATTTTTTTTCTCTAATTCATTATGTGTAGATGAACCAAGCTACTCACTATTTGGACGGATCCCAATTGTATGGTTCTAATCCCAAGAAGGCTTTCGCGTTAAGAAAAATGGAAGGGGGTCTTTTGGACTACAGTGAATATGGAACATATACATTTTTACCAATTGCTAGCCACCCCTCTGAAAGTTGCCAAGGGAACTCCAATAACTCCCTATGTTTCAAGTCAGGTGACTCCAGGGTTAACACTCAGCCTCAACTTACTGCTATGTACACAATTTGGCTTCGGGAACACAACAGGATTGCGACATTGTTGCATCGAATTAATCCCCATTGGAGTGACGAAATTCTGTATCAAGAGGCAAGGAGAATAGTGATTGCTGAAATGCAGCATATTACTTACAGCGAATGGATTCCAGTAGTCTTGGGTAAGAAATTACTTCAAACACCCATCCCTTGTAATCTTTTATTAAAAAAGGGATTTGTTTGTTGCAGGAAACCGTTTATCCACTGTTGTAGATGATAAAAATAACTTCAACGAGAGGATTGATCCAACCATAAGCAATAGTTTTGCAACTGCAGCTTTGAGGTTTATCAATTCTTTGATGGAAGGCAACTTGAAGTAAGCCATTCATCATTTCGTAATTGTGGTTCTCCCAACTAAATTAATGGTTTGTGTTCTAGGTTGTACAAAGAAAACAGGAGTTCAAATACTTCAATTTCTTTGAGCAATTTTTTCAACAAACCTACGTCTTTGGAGAAGCCCGGATTTTTGGATGCTCTTATCAGAGGTTTAGCTACTCAGGCCAGTCAGAAATTGGATTTAAATGTAGTGGATGAAGTACGTTGTACATCATTAAATTTTAGATTTAAAGATGCTACTATTGTGTTTCTTATTTTCCAGGTGACAACGTTATTGTACCGCTCAGGAAGTTATGGATATGATGTTTTGAGTTTGGACATTCAGAGGGGTAGAGATCATGGACTTCCCTCTTATACATCGTACCGTACCCTGTGTGGACTTCCTGAAGTCTCTTCTTTTGACGACCTGGATGACGTAATACCTCAAAAGGTAATCTCAATAGTTTTTGTACATTTGTAAAAAGTTACTAATTAAAGAAAGATTCTTTTTTGCAGACCATAAATATCTTAAAGGAAGTCTACGGCGATCCTAGAGATATCGATCTATTGATTGGTGGCCTTTCGGAAAGACCTGTGAGAGACTCCTTGTTGGGACCCACCTTTAGTTGCATCATTACAGATCAGATGTGGCGTACCAAACACGGAGATCGCTATTTCTACACCAACGCGAACCAACCCAAGCCCTTCACGGTTGCTCAACTTGCCCAACTGAAGAAAGTTACTTTGGCAAGAATTTTTTGTGATAATGGCGCTGATATCAGACTAATGCAACCGAATGCCTTCAGAAAAATAAATCAAAGGTAATTTTTATCCACCCTTTTTTCTCGTATTATTATTTTAGGAAGGGGATGATGGTTTGGATTTTTTATGTTTACAGTTATTTACCAAGAAGAATCGGTGGTTTTAGTGTTTGTTAATGTTTTATTTATTTATTTCAGCAACCAATTGGTGGAATGCAGTCACTCTGAAATACCGAGGGTTGATTTCAGCTTCTGGGCGGAAAATTACACCCTTCCCGCATAAAGGTCTTGCAATAAAAATGAATTAAGTTTTGTTTCACACGTGAAGATTTTTATTTTCAACTTTAGTTAGATATCATAATTGAAGATTTGCTGTTTAATATTTATTTCACTTTTTGTTGGTTTATCTCTTCGGTAGATGGTCACAGACAGAAACAAAACTTATTTCTTTAAGGTACAGTTATTTGTTTTATGTATATAGGTATATAAAAATCTGTCGTCGAATGATTTAAGACTGAAAAGTAATGGCTGTTCTCATTGTCAGTAGTTTTAACAATAATAATAATAATAATAATAGCAGATAATCAACAACAATAACATTAATTTAGTTAACGAACTTTCGCGGTTACGATTATTTTTGAAATTGAAATTAGTCTCTCGATTCCTTATTTTATAGAAAAAATATATATGTAAAAATGAGAATTTGGTAATAAGAAAAAAACCGAAATTTATTTGGAGTTGGAGCAGTCATTAGCATTCAAGATGCCTTAAAACGGTCCACATTTTTATTGGGTGTGTTTTGTTTAATAACAGCAGTATTTTATTCAAAGAATAATATTTATTTTGTATAATTGCGTAGTGCTATCGCGTGCAAACTGCGAGCTATATTAGCTCAAAGTTTGCGCTGTATAATTATTTTATTAATTTATAGTTGTCCTTTTCTATGCAAATTTGTCAATGATAATAATTTGTTAGATAAGAAACAGTTTTGTACCTAGTGAGTTCTATTTAAGTAATAAAGAATTGATATTATTAAAAAATGCTAGTTTCATTTAAAAATCGGTTGTCTGTAAAGTCGGTTTACTGACGATAGTTGAACGTGACAACGTCATACGAAAATACTGATGGAATGGTTTCATTTTTCAAAAGAAAATTTTAATTTTATTTGTTTGATAGATATTTTGTATGGATATAGAGAAGGAGGTAAATGGAAATGTATTATTGTATAGCAGCTGTCCACGCGGACGCATCGCTCACTCAAGTAGGAGAGAGACAGATGTCGAACGCTGCCGAACGCGGAGGCCGATTGTGCCTCTTTGTCGCTCGTTCCGCGCTCTCGCTTGCACTTCAAGCCTTAGATGGAACGCCTCAGAGCGAGGTAACGCAGCATGAGTCATGTTTTTTCGTGCGTGTAGACCCGGCTCCATCGAATTATAAGACATTGTCACGTAAAAAAAAAAAACGCGGCCGAGTATATACGAGTCGATCGGATTCGCGCACCGAGGGTTCCGTACAAACTTGGAGGTATGTAAATAGTTCGTCTGTAATGGGAATCGAGGAGACTCGAAGATTTTTCTCGCTTTTTCCAAGATTTTAAGTTTTAACATTCTCCTCAAAATATGTCCCAAAACGTACAATTAAAATTTTTTCCTTTAGATACTTATGCCAGAAGTCATGTTTCATTATTCTAGTACCCTATAGGTTTTGATTCCATTGCGAGTGTCAAAATAAGCGGCTAAACTGCCATATTCTTTGATTGCGTTTACTTGGAAGTTTATTCTTTTTACGGCTCCAAAGGTTTGCAGACCTATTAGATATTAATTTCAACTTGATACTTCTATGCGTTCCTTTGAAAAGGGTTTTTAAGTTGTAAATTTGCAAATTTATTGAAGTGAAATTTCTTTATCGGCGGTAGAGAGGAAATTTACAAAGGTGTAAAACTGAAAAGGGAAATGTGAAGATTAGCTCAGGATAGGAATGAGTGGATGTGTGTGTGTCCAACTAGTCTTAGGACTGACGACCTTATGATGATGATGATTAAATTCATTAGTACAAAATGGAAAAGCTGAACACCGTTTCTTGAACAAATTTTGTTCTCTTAATTTATTATTTTATTCCTGGTTTTACAAAGTGAGTGTGCAGGTAGATTGGTTGTATAATATTGCATTAAAGATATCTAGATAATTTAATTAGGCACTTGTTTCTTGCAATTTATGATACTATCAATACTAATGTAAGTGGGAATATGTGTGTACCGGTCAGTTGTACTCTTACTCCGAATACATTCGCGCTCATTTTAAATAAATCTGTATTGAAAGTTTAACAAATTGCTTTTTGTAACAAAACGTCAATAACGAAGGTTACATGATCAAATTTGTTTATGTTTCGCTTTTATAACAATGTCATCAACGTAAAAATGATAGAATCGCTCTCTCGCTTCTTGTGCGAGGGTCCTTTCCATGGTCACCGTGGGGCGTTGCATCGTGTTGCTGTTGTTCTTGTTGTTGGGAAATTTATTTTAATGTATTTATGCAGATAATCTATCCCGAAGGCGACCAAGTTACATACTACGCTGCTTTCACATGGTTGACAATTAAAAATTGCGAATGGCCAAAATGCACTAGCGATTCGCACTCATTTTTACGGGAACAACAAGAACATTAAAAAAAATTAACGAATAAATAATAAGCTAGCAATCAGTCCATACATATTTAAATTTTCCGCTTTTGTTGACTGATCATTATTAATTAAGACACATTAGATCGAAAAATTAGAAGAAGTGGCCGATTTTAGGTATGTAGGAAGTCAGATAAGTCAGGACGAAAGGAGTAGTAGAGATATAAATCAGAGGATAGCGTAGGGTCGAGTTGCCTTTAATAAAAAGAAGTCACTTCTATACTCGCGAGCGGTTAATTTAGAAATTCGAAAAAGATTGTTAAAAGTGTAGAGTTTGGAATACGGCGCTGTACGGGTGCGAAACATGGACGGTGAGCGCGGCGGAAAGGAAAAGGATAGAATCGTTTGAAATGTGGTGTTACAGGCGAACGATGAGGATACCGTAGATAGAGAAGTTTAAAAGTGAAGAAATATTAGAAAGAATAGAAGGACAGAGGACTCTATGGAAGTCAATAAGAAATAGGCGAGATAGGTTACTAGGACACTTTCTCAGGCATGAAGGTCTAGTCAGAGACATATAAGAGGCAGAAACGGAAGTTAGGAGGGGTAGAGGTAGACCTAGATTGGATTACTGTTAGCAAATAGGGATGTTCCAGTTTTAGAGAAATGCGAAGATTAGCTCAGGATAGGAAAGAGTGGAAGTACGTGTCCAACTCGTTTTAAGACTGACAACCTTATGATGATGATGATTTAATTCATTAGTACAAAATGGAGAAGCTGAACACCGTTTCTTCAACAAATTTTCTTCTCTTAATTTATTATTTTATTCCTGGTTTTACAAAGTGAGTGTGCAGGTAGATTGGTTGTATAATATTGCATTAAAGATATCTAGATAATTTAATTAGGCACTTGTTTCTTGCAATTTATGATACTATCAATACTAATGTAAGTGGGAATATGTGTGTACCGGTCAGTTGTACTCTTACTCCGAATACATTCGCGCTCATTTTAAATAAATCTGTATTGAAAGTTTAACAAATTGCTTTTTGTAACAAAACGTCAATAACGAAGGTTACATGATCAAATTTGTTTATGTTTCGCTTTTATAACAATGTCATCAACGTAAAAATGATAGAATCGCTCTCTCGCTTCTTGTGCGAGGGTCCTTTCCATGGTCACCGTGGGGCGTTGCATCGTGTTGCTGTTGTTCTTGTTGTTGGGAAATTTATTTTAATGTATTTATGCAGATAATCTATCCCGAAGGCGACCAAGTTACATACTACGCTGCTTTCACATGGTTGACAATTAAAAATTGCGAATGGCCAAAATGCACTAGCGATTCGCACTCATTTTTACGGGAACAACAAGAACATTAAAAAAAATTAACGAATAAATAATAAGCTAGCAATCAGTCCATACATATTTAAATTTTCCGCTTTTGTTGACTGATCATTATTAATTAAGACACATTAGATCGAAAAATTAGAAGAAGTGGCCGATTTTAGGTATGTAGGAAGTCAGATAAGTCAGGACGAAAGGAGTAGTAGAGATATAAATCAGAGGATAGCGTAGGGTCGAGTTGCCTTTAATAAAAAGAAGTCACTTCTANAACACTAATCGAATCCAGGTCTACCTCTACCCCTCCTAACCTCTCTACTACTTCACCGTCCTGACTTATTTGACTTCCTAGATACCTAAAATCAGCCAGCCACTTCTTCTAATTTTTCGTCTCCTATCGCTCTTTCCCTACTTTTTCTTCCCTTGTATACCAGTATTTTTGTTTTAATTTTATTTATTTTCATGCAATAGTGTTTTGTCGATACTGCTTCCATTTTATTTAAACTTATCTCTAAGGTGCTAGATGCTAATTTCATCATCATCGTCATAGGGTCGTCAGTCCTAAAACTGGTTGGACACGTACCTACACTCTTTCCTATCCTGAGCTAAACTTAGCATTTCCTTAAAACTAGGACAGCCCACATCCTTAATTTAATCTAAGTCTACCTCCACCCCTCCTATCTCCTGTTTCTGCCCTTAATATGACTCTGACTAGACCTTCATGCCTGAGAAGGTGTCCTACCAACCTACCTCGCCTATTTCTTACTGACTTCCATAAAGTCATCTGTTCTCCTATTATTTCTAATACCTCTTCATTTCTAACCTTCTCTATCCACGGTATCCTCATCATCCGCCTATAACACCACATTTCGAACGCTTCTAACCTATTCTTTTCTTTTAAATAAATAAAGTAATTTTAACTCGAATATTACTTTGATTTAAACAACTGAATACAAAATAGAGGAAGAGTGATTAATATTAATGACAATAACCTGCGTATTATACAACATATAAAAGAACTATAAAAATGTACCTAATTAATTATTTACCGTTACTAAAATACATAAAAATGGTTTCTTACCATTGTTAGACGCTTGAATACTTTCAAAATTTCAAAAAAAGTTTGGCAAACTTTTAAGCAATTCAAAATAGCGGAAAAACTAACCATGAAATCGAAAATGAAATTCTGGGGGAAACCCTAACTGCAACTAACAAATATAGCAAGTAGGTGAATGGCAATTAAAAAGGTGGCTTTACTTGCGACCTAACTATCGATCAAACCCAAACTTCGGGGGTCTAAAATCATTAATGCTTAATTATCGTGCACAAACAGCAACAAATAAACTTGATTTTTAAATTAGAGGTAATTGGTTTTAATATTTTTGAAAGGGTACAGATAATTTAGTGGCTAAAAATTTTAATTCAACACAGCCTAACGTGAATGTGTTTCTAGAATCCTTAAAAAATATTCAAACAGATTTGTACATTTTGATAAATTCTGGCAATAAAAATGAATCTTGACAAATAAAATATGCATTAACAACAATTATGTATGTAAATAAAACTTGTGTAATACAAAAGCAATAATATTAATAGATACGATTTTGTAAGATGGTTTAGTT